ATCGAGTATTTTAGAAATCATGTGGGAAACTAAGAAGGAGTAGATTAGTTTCAACTTTACTGTTTGTTTTTTTTGCAGAAAATTCTGCTGGTTTTTATCTTTTCTTTGAGAAATTTATCCCGTCGATTCTTCGCAAAAGTTGCTTAAAAGCAGGCTGATGGCGCCTTTGTGGCTCTGGAATATGCCAGTACTAATTTACCATCGAAGCGAGTAAATGAGTTATAGAGGGACTGGCTTTCCCAAAGGCTAAGACAGGCCTTTCATCTTTAGTTTGAGAGTGATGCCAATTGCTGCTGTACTATGCCTGCCAGCAAAGGAGTAATAATTTTCTCAAATTTTCTAAGTCTTTTTTATAGATTTTCTAAACTTTAGCTCTTTTCTGAGTGGGAAGGAGAAATTTTGAAACTATGTGCTCTTTCAGTATGTGGCACCTATCAAAATACGTGTTTTTTGAATTTGAAAAGTGGGCCAGGGTAGAGCATTCGCCCATTCGCCTGGTACCGATAAATTGGCGTAGAAAGTGCCTGCAAGAAAAAGTTTTTCAGGATGAGCGCAATCAAGTGCTAACAACACGAAGCTGGCTGAATGTAAACTGGTTCGACCCACGGCTCACGTGGAATGCATCTGAATGGGATGGAATTAGCACACTATATATCCCATATCAGCGATTATGGAAGCCGGATATCATACTCGTCAACAGGTTTTTCCTTTCCAACAAATTAATAAACTAAAAAAATATTTTTATTAACCCCGTTTTCCGTTCTGTTTTGAAATATCCCCAGTATGTCTCGTGTAAAAACATCTACTGCCAAAGGCTATTTCTGGACCTCAGTGAAGTGCCTTATTGACTAAGCAATTTATTCAGCATATTATTAGAAAAAAATTTTTTTTTAAACTGGAGGCTCTTTGTTATTAGAACTGTCCTCGTGGATTGCCAGTGCCTCATTAAATTTAAAAATTTCAATGATCCGGCGTGTAGCAGCTCCAAGTGCCACTCTCAGCAACAACATTCTACCCCAGTTCCACAAGAAACTTCATTGTTTAAGTTATTTTTGCTCCAAAAAAAACAAGTGCTGTTCTCGGTTACATCATCACTGAATCGCTGCTAAACCATTATCGTTTCGTATATCAATTATCTTGTAATTTCTGCATTTCTTTCATGTAATTTTAGTTATTTTCACCAACTGCTGTGGAACTTACCAGTTTGTACCACATTGAAACAATAGGGTGTAAATTTCACAAGAACCACCGTAACATCATGTCGATGTAGTAAATGCATGAATTTATGAAATCATAAAAATATACGCATCAGTTAATAATCCCTAGTGTTTATTCAGGTAAA